CGCATGGCTTAGCCTGGCATAATGAATTTCAATGGAAACCTCAAAGAAACCTAATCGTTAACTTTGAGCGGGTGTTCTCCAATTGGGCTAGACCGACACTAGTTACTGATATAATGATATTAATCATTATATTAATAATATTATATTATATTAATCATTATATTAATTATTAAAGCATACTTCTGTGATTCATGGCGACTGCAGTCACTTGAATTTGGTTTTGGTAGTGGAAGTGGCTTTATTTTCTCTAAACAAAAATTTAAAAAAGGTAATGGTTAACAAAGGTTGATTCATAACAATTATTATTTTTATCTATTATAAGATAATTATCTATAAGACAGCTTATTCAAATAAATAAATTAAAGTATTTTAGGAATTTATGTTTATTGATTCTTCATATTAAATTCTATATAAGCAATTATAAATAATAAGACATCATTTATAATTTGAAGGTCTCATTCGTCATTACTCATTAGTCACTATTATTTAACTAATACAATATTAGTTAAATATAAACTATTACACTAGCAATTTATTTTTATGTTACACCTAATTGAATGGACAGTATTAAGGTGAGGTTAGGTGCTAATAATTATGATATATTATACAATATATACTTCTATGCAGATTCCAGTTATTACACTATTACCAATGCAATAGGTAATTGATTTTTAATAATTATTTATTGATAAGAAGATGAACTTTATTTCAGAAATAATTAAATACATTAAGAATTTTATTTACAACATTTTTTCTGACCCAACCTCTAAGTAAACTTGTTTTAGGTTGAGTGAGTCTTAAGATAACGTAACACTGGCATTTGTTGTCTCGATCTTACAAGTGTGTTACTTAACAAAGTTACATTCAGAAAATCAAGTTGAGCTTTATTAGTTTAAAAATTAAGAGTGAAACGACTTCTTACAAAACTTGATGGAAAGAATCTACAAACGAGGATACAAGTAAAGGAACATTAATATTTGTTTTTTATATGGCAAGTTTCAAACCAAAAAAAAAAAGTATAATATAGGTTAATACCCCACAAAAATTTGTCCTAGATCCTATCTTGTACTAAGGTGGTTAAATGATCAATCCCGTGATCAATACCTATAGTATTTAAAATTTAGTTATTATCATAAATCAATTCTAAATATTTTATTCTTCTATATTCTTTTATTTCTGTGCAATTACAATCATTCATTTGTTTACAATTATTATTATGAAAAGATTTTTTTTTATTATTATTATTAAAGTTTTCCTGACTTAAATCATCTAAACTTAGGTAGGTTGTAGGTATATTATAGAGTTACAATTTTTTAACATTTGTTTATCGGATCACAAGGTAATTACCTAGTAAGAACTATGGATTTTTTGTACACTTAAGAGTAAATATTATGAAAAGATGACTTATAATTTTTAATATTATTAATTATTATTATTATTGTTGTAATAGGTGAATATAACTTTTTAGAAAATTTGATTTGTTAAAATTGAATGCCATGCAATTGAATAGATTAAATGAGAACAATTTATAAGTTTGGTATCATTAATCTGATTGTTTATTGGATTTGTTGAGATGACATCATACCCGCACGTTGTCTCCTTTTAACTAATGCATAAAATACCAAATTTAACATTCAGAACAATCTATTCTACATACTCTGGTATTTTTAAAATTAGAATGGATACATTGGTACAGAAATACTGAATCGGTACTGAATTGACATTTATCATCAAATTCAAAGGTAAAAACCAGAGTAAAAATATTATCTAGGGCCTCACAAATGTTTTTTTTTTTTATATTTTATTTTTAAATCAAGTTTGAGCATTTTAATTTTTGCAAAAAAACTACCTTTCTTCAAGTCAAAAATAGCCGAGAAAATAGCAGAGTAAAACGGATTATAGTGTACACAAAATGTACCAAGTTATTATATATGTTTTAGTAAGACGGACAACACATTTATTTTGTAAATGTATTTAAGAACCTATCTACCTAAGTACCTACCTATTAAATTTCAATCTTAAATTGTACAATAAATTTGATATTCTTTAAATATTTATGTCTTGAATTCTTGATACAACATCAAATAATTTAGCACGCATAAATGTCTTAAGGGGGCTACAGTCGATGAAAAAAGTGACTTTTAGACCAAAAAGCCCGACAAAACTGGAGAAATTTGGTTTGATGGATTTTAATTTGGAAAACTTAATATGAATGATTAACAAGTTTACTAGGTTTTCATTGAGGTGATTTTTAATATTCCAATTATTGTTAGTGTCATAATGCGTATTAATATTGTGTTAATATAAATACAAAAATATCATATTTTTTTATTCATAGATAATACAGCTGAAAAAATGGATATTCAAAATCACCTCAATGGATACCTAGTAATATTGGTATCAATGAAAATCAGTTTTAAAAAATTTAAATCCGTCAAACCAAATTCCTTCAGTTTTGTTTTTATGATACGGAATTTAAATATATTTAAAAATATTAAGATAAACAAAATTGATGTCCCCATTTATGTTAAGATTGGTCAAATCTACATTAGTTTTGACTTTTTACTAAACCGACTGAACCCCCTTAAGAGATTTGAATGTCACTGAAGATAAAATATTCTAAATTCAAAAATTATTAATTAGTTTTAATTTATGTTTATGTATCTTCTTTAATTACAAAAATTAACAATTTAAAAAGAAGTATGTACCTATCATTATATAGGTATAGGTATATAATCAACTCATATTATGTAAAGGCAGATAGAAGGGCAGATAGTAACATACCTCGTAACTTACACTTAATGTACCTAGGTACCTATTTGATTAGAAATCTGATATTAGTATTAGATGCTGATTAATGATTACAAACAGTCAATAGGTAATTACTACATTTAGCATATCTGGTTGGAATAGGTATAGGTATAGTAAGTAAATAGCAATAGCGAACATAATATGACAATTGGTTCTAACCTATTAAATTTATAAATGAATCGTTAATTTGGTTCCGTGCTTGAACCATATTATATTTTGAAGAGAGCTGACAATGAAAAACGTTTAGTGACCACAGTGAAGAACTCTGATTACCTGGCGTATTCATGATTTCCCATTTAAACGTAGCACCGCAAAACCGACATGTCAACTGGTACGTACGGCCTGCAACCGTCGGCTCTCCGCTCAAACGGATCTGGCAGTTGTCGACAGGCTGCAGATTTCGGGGCTACTCCTGGACGACCCGCATCGGTGAGTGACGACGGACCGCCGCTAAGCGGCAGAGCGAACCGTCACGCAAGAAGTGTTAGGGCGCGAGACGATGGATAGGTATGTGGACGGTAGTGTACTCACGCGGTGACAATTGCCAAGCCCGAGACGAACGCTAGTACAAAACGACGTCGGTGATAATGGTCGGGTGGACGGGTGGCGGAGACGCGAGAGGGCCAAGACGAAAATCGAAAACGGATGGAAGCGAATAAATTAGCGAATTACCAATTAAACTATAAAGCGAGTAAATTATAACAATAATCATAATGCGTCGAACGCGATATCCGCTGCGAAGACTGTACAGTAGACATGATAATAACTGTTACGCTGATGATAACTGATAAGTGACGCAGTAGACGTGCGTATGCGGGCGGGGCGAGCTGTGCATAACTCGTCCAGAGATAAGAAAAACTTGATCGCTTGCCGACCGGGAGCCTACACTTGGTACTATAGTATAGCCATCGTAAGAACGCTACTGGGCGGCGACCAAAATTCATCCGATCTCGCGCATTCCCACCACTAAATCTTCCCGAACGCTGGCCGCCGTCAACTCTGGCCGCCGCCACTGTCGCAGCCATCGCTACTGTCGCTGCCACTACTGCCTATTTACGGTGGCGACTAGATGGTAGAGTGGGAGAAACTTGGGTACGAAACTGCGGAGCTCGGTCATTTGGATGCGCGAACGAGTAGCGTTCTTACGATGGCTATACTATACAAATAATACTACAAATTACAATCATCACTCATCAGCACGTCTGCACTCTGCACGTATATATTAATTCGTGCTCATCGGTGATAAATTATATACTAGTATACTACATAAATATATACTACATAATCTCCAACCATATATCTAACAGAATAATAATGTATATCAAATCAAACTATCTTTCCACTCAGGGACGCTTTTACGGGATTATGGTCATAATTTAAGGCCCTCCGCACACGGTAAAACTGTTTTGCAACGATAATCTCAAATCAGTTGCGCGAGCAACCGTTTGGCGATTTTGCTTGTCTAGCGTAATAGGAAACCGCACACTTGTCGACCAAAACCAAATCGGTTTGTAATCAATTTCCAACTGGTCGCGTGCAACTGTGCTTGCAGGTCGAATTTCGGTTTCAGTTGCGTGATTGCATTGTAATAAATGATTAATTTATTACTTAAAATGTATTAAAATTATTATTTTATTATTATAATTATTATATAATACCTGAATATTATATTTTGATAAATTGATAATTCATTCACAATGAATGAGCAGTTGGCAAACATTAAATTTGTCGAAGAGGTAGAAAAACACGAACTTTTATATAATTATAATCTTTCTGGATACTCGAGAAAAGACTTGACAGAAAAAGCATGGCACGAGATAGCAGCCAAAGTAAACATGACAGGTATGTAAAAAATGTAATTAATATATGTACCTATATACACTTAATATACACGGAGTATAATATAATACTTAATATTATTAAAAACAAGTCATTTAAAGAAGAGCCAAATAAACGAATGCAGTATTTAGAATAATATTTCAATATGAATTATTACGTTTCAGCTGTTCTAAAAATAATATTTCCCTATACGAATTGTATTTATCTTTATCCAAGCTATATTAATAATAAAGTGTCTAAAAATAACATGATATACTAGCTGTTTATGTACTATTGTACTACATTGTACTTTGATTTTATTTATAAATTATAATTATAAGTATAATTACATAATAATAATATAATAATAATCATGTTGTCGTATCATATCGTATCGTATTTCTTATTTCTGGTACAGTGTATTTCCATTGCCATGGTAGAGATGCAAGAGGAGAAAGAAAATAATTAGATAAATAATTTCTAATCGTATTCGCTGAAGATCTTTCATTTATTGTTACCTGACTTGGTATTATTGTGTCTATACCTACTGCGGCTATTTCATGATTTTCTTGCGTGTCTGTGGGTCTATAGACGATACCCTCTCGTTTACGTACATAATTGTGTAGAATGCAAACCGCTTTAATAATGTCATTCACTGATTCTACTTTTCGACATCGTATGGGACCATTTAGTACTTGAAACTTTTCTGCCGCCATGCCAAAGGCGCATTCAATAGTTTTCCGTCCACGGCTTAACCTATAGTTGAATATTCTTTTAACATTGTCTAATGTCCTTTTGGAATAAGGCCTCAATAAATACTGCGATAACGGGAATGCTTCATCAGCTGCAAAGTAGTATGGAAATGGACTATTTGTCTCATCATATGTTAACGGAGAAGGTGAAGGGATGTCGAAACCTCCGTGGGTAATCCAATACTTCATTGCACTAACTTTAAAAATGCCTCCATCACTGTTTCTTCCCGCGTATCCCGATTCTATCATCGTGAATAATCCATCTGCATCGCAGCATGCCATTAAAACGACAGAATGGTATGATTTATAGTTATAATTTTGTGAACCTGTGTTGGGAAATTTCTCTATTCGTACATGCTTCCCGTCCAGAGCTCCAATGCAGTTTGGGAGATTCCAAATTGACTCAAAACGATCGGCTATCAATTTCCAATGCTCTCTAGTTGGTACCGGCATATATATTTCATTTAACGTGTCCCAGATTATTTTAGTTGTTTCGTGCACTATAGTTCCAACTGTAGTTTCCCCTCTTGCAAAGTATAATGAAAGAGACACAAATGTACATCCTGTAGCCAAGTATCTGTTAAAATATAAGTAAATATTATTACATAAATTAATTAATTAAAATTAAAGTATCTGTTAAAATATAAGTAAATATTATTACATAATTTATATACCTATATTACCTATATGAAACTGTGCAAACTGTGTAGTCACTGTAAATACTCGTAATTTAGTTAGGCGACCGGAGCTAGTACCTAACCAGTAACCACGGCCCTGCGGATCACACTGTCTTAAGGGACAGTGAGTCCCAGTGGTCGACAGTGATCAAAAATCCTACTTACACTACTAATTTACGAGATTCACTCGATAGCTACTAAACAGCACAACGAGTTCCTGGTTTTTTTTTTATATTTATTATTTATTATTTTTATTACAATGATTTTAGCGTCCGAGTGTAAAGAAAAATGGCGTAATCTTCGTACTGTTTTTACACGGAAAATGAAAACTCCGGCAAGTGGGTCTGGTAGAAATAAAAAAGCATACTATTTAGCAGATGCCATGCAGTTTTCTATCCCATTTATAAAAACGTTGGTTCCGCCGTCCACTGGTAATCTTCCGGAGAAACCGCAAGACGAAACGACTGATGAAACGATAGAAAATACAGAAATATGTGATGGTCTGACAAACTCATCGTACTCAGATCAGTCTTCAGAACTACAACCGCCACCACTTCCAACATCACCAACGTTAGAAGCACCATTCCTATCACCTTCCGCATCACCAGCATCACCAGTACTATCGCAAGAAATTAACCATCCCGAAGAACAGTTCTCGTCTAGAAATAAGAAAAACCTGAAGTTCAAAAATAAATCGGCAGTGGCAGCAGATAATTGTGTGGCTGAATACTTTAAAGCTAAAAAGGCGAGATTGGAAGCAAATTTAGTTACTAATTCTTACAACAGTGAAAACAAAGAAGCTCTCAAGATGTTTTTATTAAGTTTGATGCCTGAAGTTGAACATTTTAGTAAGGATCAGATTAAATTATTTAAACGAAAAATTTTCAGCGTTATAGATGAAATATCATCCCAATCATCGTCAACATTCTCGTCGCCATCTACTACTTCATTTCCGTCAACACACACTTCGCAGTCTACCACGTCGTATACATCTGGAAGTACACCATCAAATGCACTTGAGTATTACAGCAACTTTTCTGGGACAGTCGAAAACTACGATGAGGAGTGCGAGTCCAGTTTCACACCATTATAGTTATTTTAATAATCATTATTAATTTCTTAATTTAGTTATTTGTTGATATTATGTTATTATTACGATTAAAATATAAGAAATTCAGAACCTTATAATTCAATAAAGACTAATAACACTTACCTCAGAGTTATCAATATTCTTTCTTCGGCAGACACACATTCTCTCATATTTGTGTTCATTTTATGTATATTAGGAGTAACCAACTTTAACAATTCCCGGTATGAATCTTTTGACATTCTGTAGAACGCTATAAACTTGGTATCAGTTTGATTCAGTTGTTCTGCTGCTATAAACAGCCTGCATTTCATATTTTTCTCTATATATGGATGGGTCCAATATTCCCTTCGTACTAATTTTCGTTGCCTACGGTACTGATAGTAGTCAATTATATCATCTTCATCAGAACTACTCGACATATTACAAAAGTTTAATGTTTAACTATAAAAAAAACTTTGAAAAACTTTAAAAAAACGCACGTTCTTTCCCAACATCAATTCGCATACAACTGCGTATACTGGTCGAAATTCAATCGAACTCGTGTGCGGAGTAATACATAAATTGATTGCAAACCAATTGCACAACAATCGCTCACGTAACTGATTTGAGATTCTCGTTGCAAAACAGTTTTACCGTGTGCGGAGGGCCTAAGGGGGGCTATTACTTTTATTGGGGCCCTTTCAACTAAAACGATTTATTTTTTTTCTTCGGATTTAGTAATTTGTAATAAATATAAATTAAAATAAGTACCTACCTATAGCATTGTTTTTAAATAACATTTTATTATTATATTATATTATACATTTTTTCGGCATATGCAATAAAAAAAAAAGGTGGGCAAGTGGGTGTCGCTCTGCTGTACAGTAGGTTACAAGTAGGTCATTGTATAATGGATGGTATTAAATTTGAATTCAATGATATAATATCATTGTATAAGAAAAACGATTCTGAGCGGAGACGGTATGTCCTTCTAGGTATAAGACATATTATATACATATCTATGGTATTAAAAAAAATTGACCTATAATGAATTCCAAATTAATCATATCACAATAACCATTAGGTACTTATAACGCGTTATACACCAACAACAAACCCTGATACTATCATAGATATATATAGTAGATTACTTTAGAAATTTCAAGTACCCACGAATAATATTATACAATCACAACAAAATAACTAAAATCGTAATTCTTGGTTTAAATATGAAATTTTGTCTAAATTTGAAATTAAAATGTCTGTAAAAATTAGTGTGTTTATATATTTTTTAGATTTTTTGGTTACAGTATGAATTATTTAAGAGAATCTTTGTTTTAAATTTTCAACTCTTAGTTATAAAAACTGAACATTTTATAATTTTTTAATTCCAACGATTGATAATTTTCGAGATTTTGATAAATTTTGTCAAAATTCCAACTTTAAATGCTTATAAAAAAAAATCGTGTCTATGTACTATTAATATTTTTCAACTGATATTGTAACAATATATCAGGAGCCTTGTATTAAATTTTTACACTTTTTGGCCCAACAGATAAAACTTTATTGATATTTATAGAAAAAAAAACTAAAAAAAATTGAAAGCTGTAAATGTCCATAAACAGCTCAAAAAGAGTCAAAATATTTTCAAAATTGTATGGTGTATAGGAAATGCTAATATAAACATTCAGTGAAATTTTCATGTATCTACAGTTATTCGTTTTTGAATTACAACAAAATAAGGAAATCGCTACATGAGAAATCGAGTGAAAATCCAATGTTGTAAAAATTTGAATTTCAAACGCTCATAAAAATTTAATTTGACTGTCCGGTAGAGATTTTTTTATTGATAAAGGTAGATAATCTTATAAGGAATCTTGTGTTTCATTTTCAAATCTTAGATTTAAAAAGAAAAATTTTTACGAATTCTTAACTCAAAATAATTTGCTAATTTTCGTGATTTTTCCATATTTTGTCAATTTTTGAACTTTAAATGCTTATAAAAAAAAATTGTGACTAAGGATTTTTAATATTTTTCATCTGCCTTTGAAACAACATATTAGGAGCCTTCTATTAAATTTTCAAGCTTTCGCAACCAATAAATAAAATTTTATTGATATTTTTAGAAAAAAAACTAAAAAAAAAATGGAAAATGAAAATGTCCCTAAACAGTTCAAAATAAATCAAAATATTTTGAAAATGTTATCGTGTATAGAAAATGCAAATATAAACAACCAGTGAATATTTCATGTATATACGTTCATTTGTTTTAGAGTTACACCAATAACCAAAATCGATTTTTTGGAAAACCAATTTTGCGTAAAAATTCCCGTTTTTCCTTAATTTTTATGTTGTTTTTCCCGGCGCTTGTGAAAACTACTGGGAAATTTATACTTTTGACCCCCCAAAGTACCAACTAGATTCACTTTCCTATCAGAAAAGCTACTGATGAAGAAAATCCAAGCACTTTTACTGTCCTAAAACGTGATGACAGACACAAAAATATAAATAAAAATATAAAAATATAAAAATATAAATAAAAATATAAAAACATACATCATTGTAAAACCAATACATTCATCGCTCCGCTCAGAATCTAAAATATAAAAACATACATCATTGTAAAACCAATACATTCATCGCTCCGCTCAGAATCTAAAATATAAAAAAAAACATACATCATTGTAAAACCAATACGGTCATCGCTCCGCTCAGAATCTAAAACTAAAAAAAATTGAAAACTGAAAATGTCCGTAAACAGCTCAAAAAGAGTCAAAATATTTTCAAAATTGTATGGTGTATAAGAAATGCTAATATAAACATTCAGTGAAATTTTCATGTATCTACAGTTATTCGTTTTTGAATTACAACAAAATAAGGAAATCGCTACATGAGAAATCGAGTGAAAATCCAATGTTGTAAAAATTTGAATTTCAAACGCTCATAAAAATTTAATTTGACTCTCCGGTAGAGATTTTTTTATTGATAAAGGTAGATAATCTTATAAGGAATCTTGTGTTTCATTTTCAAATCTTAGATTTAAAAAGAAAAATTTTTACGAATTCTTAACTCAAAATAATTTGCTAATTTTCGTGATTTTTCCATATTTTGTCAATTTTTGAACTTTAAATGCTTATAAAAAAAAATTGTGACTAAGGATTTTTAATATTTTTCATCTGCCTTTGAAACAACATATTAGGAGCCTTCTATTAAATTTTCAAGCTTTCGCAACCAATAAATAAAATTTTATTGATATTTTTAGAAAAAAAACTAAAAAAAAATGGAAAATGAAAATGTCCCTAAACAGTTCAAAATAAATCAAAATATTTTGAAAATGTTATCGTGTATAGAAAATGCAAATATTAACAACCAGTGAAAATTTCATGTATATACGTTCATTTGTTTCAGAGTTACACCAAAAACCATAATCGATTTTTTGGAAAACCAATTTTGCGAAAAAATTCCCGTTTTTCCTTAATTTTTATGTTGTTTTTCCCGGCGCTTGTGAAAACTACTGGGAAATTTATACTTTTGACCCCCTCAAAGTACCAACTAGATTCACTTTCCTATCAGAAAAGCTACTGATGAAGAAAATCAAAGCACTTTTATTGTCCTAAAACGTGATGACAGACACAAAAATATAAAAATATAAATAAAAAGGTGGGTAAGTGGATGTCGCTCTGCTGTACAGTAGGTTACAAGTGGGTCACTGTATAATGGATGCTATTAAATTTGAATTCAATGATACAATATCATTGTATAAGAAAAACGATTCTGAGCGAAGACGGTATGTCAGTCTAGGTTTAAGACAAATTATATACATATCTATAGTATTAAAAAAAATTGACCTATAATAAATTCCAAATTAAGCATATCACATTATCACAATATCCATTAGGTACTTATAACACGTTATACATCAACATCAATAACAAACCCTGATACTATCATAGATATATTTTATAGTACACTTTAGAAGTTTCAAGTAGGTACCCACGAATAATATTATATAATCACAACAAAATAACTAGGTTTTTTAATATGTAATTTCGTCCAAATTTGAACATAAAATTACTATAAAAATAAACTGTGATTGTATATTTTTTAGATTTTTTGGTAAGAGAATTATCTACTTACGTGGAATCTTGTTTTAAATTTTTAATCCTTAGCTATAAAAACTGAACATTTTATAATTTTATTAATTACGATGATTAATAATTTTCGAGATTTTGAAAAATTCTGTCAAAATTCGATGTTTAAATTCTTATAAAAAAAAATTGTGCCTATGTATTTTTAATGTTTTTCAACTGATATTGTAACAATATATCAGGAGCCTTGTATTAAATTTTTACACTTTTGTCCCAACAGATAAAACTTTATTGATATTTATAGAAAAAAAAACTAAAAAAAATTGAAAGCTGTAAATGTCCATAAACAGCTCAAAAAGAGTCAAAATATTTTCAAAATTGTATGGTGTATATGAAATGCTAATATAAACATTCAGTGAAATTTTCATGTATCTACAGTTATTTGTTTTTGAATTACAACAAAATAAGGAAATCGCTACATGGGAAATCGAGTGAACATCCAATGTTGTAAAAATTTGAATTTCAAACGCTCATAAAAATTTAATTTGAGTTTCTTATAGACATTTTTTTTTTTGATAAAGGTAGATAATCTTATAAGGAATCTTGTGTTTAATTTTCAAATCTTAGATTTAAAAAGAAAAATTTTTACGAATTCTTAACTCAAAATAATTTGCTAATTTTCGTGATTTTTCCATATTTTGTCAATTTTTGAACTTTAAATGCTTATAAAAAAAAATTGTGACTAAGGATTTTTAATATTTTGCATCTGCCTTTGAAACAACATATTAGGAGCCTTCTATTAAATTTTCAAGCTTTCGCAACCAACAAATAAAATTTTATTGCTATTTTTAGAAAAAAAACTAAAAAAAAATGGAAAAGAAAATGTCCCTAAACAGTTCAAAATAAATCAAAATATTTTGAAAATGTTATCGTGTATAGAAAATGCAAATATAAACAACCAGTGAAAATTTCATGTATATACGTTCATTTGTTTTAGAGTTACACCAAAAACCAAAATCGATTTTTTGGAAAACCAATTTTGCGTAAAAATTCCCGTTTTTCCTTAATTTTTATGTTGTTTTTCCCGGCGCTTGTGAAAACTATTGGGAAATTTATACTTTTGACCCCCCAAAGTACCAACTAGATTCACTTTCCTATCAGAAAAGCTACTGATGAAGAAAATCCAAGCACTTTTACTGTCCTAAAACGTGATGACAGACACAAAAATAAAAAAAAAAATAAAAAAAAAATAAAAAAAATAAAAAAAATAAAAAAAAAATAAAAAAAAAAACACACATCATTGTAAAATCAATACATTCATCGTTTTACTCAGAATCTAAAATATAAAAACA